ATTAGTAAAATCCATTCAAAACTTAAAGGTAAATTTTACTATTAAATATTAATAAAAATAACTCTAAAGTTTAAATGTGATTTTTATTATTAAATAATTAATAAAATGTTTTTGAAACTTTAAAGGTAATTTTTATTATGATATATTAGTAAAAAAAAATACTTTTAATACTTTATAAATGATTTTTATTAAAAAATTTATCTTTAAAGCTTAAAGATAAATTTTATAATAAAAAATATTTTTAAAGTTTCAAATGTGAATTTTAATATAATTTATTCAAATTCAATTAAATATTTAGATATTAATTTAAATTTGATCAAATCAAATCAAAATAATATATAATTTGATTTAATTAAATATTTAATTTGATTAATTAAAATCCTAAATCAATTTGTAAAATCCTAATATTTTTTTTTATTTTTAATATACTATATATAATATAAATTAAAATTATAAATTAGTTTTAAAAAAAAAAATTATAAAATTAAAATTTCTTATAACTTCTAAATTATTTAATAAATCAAATTAGTATATTTTAAATTAATTCAAGTTAAATATCTATTAAAAATAATATAAGTTTAATTAAATATAAATAAATATAATTTATAAATAAGTAATAATAATATTTGGTAAAATTATATTTTATTAGCTTAACTAATTTTAAATTTTAAATTTCACTAATTTTATCATAAGTTTATTATATAATTATTTTTTTTTTTAAATTTATATTACTTTTTTTTATATGCAATAGCTTTGCATAATTTTTATTAAAAGTAAAGTAAATTTTACAAAATTACAAATTACAAAAGAAAAAGAACAAAAATTTCTATTTAATTAATTAAATAAAATCAAAATCAATCTTATACTATTTTAAATTAATCTTTTTTTTTAAGGTTGATTCTAGTGATTGATCACCTGAGTATCCTAACTATTGGGTTAACTAGTTCTATATATTATCATACTCCAAAAAATAAATCTCTACTTGCTATTTCTCAAGTTGATCTGAATCACTGAATTACTAGCCATCATAATAAACTATACAAAGTAAACATTATGTGACAAACCCTTAATGCTATTATAGTATAATGGATTTTGACTAATTACTAAAAAAGGAGTCTTTAACAACCCAATTTTAAATAGCTATCCAATATAGTTATTATGTTCAGACTGTCAAAATTATCCTGAGAATTGAATTCAAGCCTCTAAAATACTAGTTGAATCATAAACATCATGATGTTTCAGCTAGAAATTACCTGTTATTAGAGAAAATCCCCTTGCAGATAATGCAATACTTGCTTATTATAGGCCAATCCTCTAAATACAAATTCTAAACTCAATTAGTTCTATATGTAATGTAATTACTTGCATAATCATATAAGTTTATCATATTCTACAAATTTGTGATTTTTAACGCATATAATTTGAACATATCCTATGAAATTCATTTTCAGAATTGAACTAATAAATCCTGCAGTAAATTAATATTGCAATCTGCACTTGAACTAGGATCTATTGCAGTATAACTTACAATAGGGTTTCAGACTAACTTACCTAAATTAATTTAAAAAAAGTTTAATTATCTAATATAAGGAGTTTAATTGTTACTAATTAAAAATTTGATTAATTTATATTATATCTATAAAAGAAAAGAAAATAATGTAAAACTATAAAAGAATAAAGATTTAATAAGAGGAAATTAGTGTTGATAAAGTATAATTTTTAATTAACTATGATATATTATTAAATTTTTTAAATTATTTAATAATTATCTATCTATTAAGCTAAAAGTTTTTTTATTTGGAAGAATATATGATGATAAGTTGATGAAAAGAGACTAATTGTTAACAATTTATTATTAATGAAATGGTAGGTTTTATTAAATAAAAAGAAGAGTATAATTCTTTTAATAAAGTCAATAAAGTTAAAGAAGTCAATGATTATTTAAATTCCAAATATTCATAGTGAATAAATCAGAAAAATCTTGAATTTTAGAGGTTAATATTGTTAATTGTTATGTAAAAGTGAAGGATATGATATCAAATATCTGATATTTAATACTTTTATAAATCTAAATATGATTGAATATTTCATGGTTAGATGAATATTTAAGATAATTTCATAATTAATTATAAAGATTTAGATATCTTATTTTGAGGATTTTAAGTATAAAAAGTAATTTAAACATGAGTTTCATTTTAAACTTACAAATAAATGAGGCTTTGAAGAATATAAATTAGTTATTTTTATTATCATTAAGGATAACATTCATTTCACAGTATTTTTGACAATCTATTAAGCAGAGAAGGTCTTTCATAAAGTATCTCAATGAAATGAATATAATATTATTTTGAAATATAAGTTATAACTATATCTAAGTATTATATTATTCAAAGTCAGATTAAAACAATTAGCTTTAGCAAAAGCATTAATTGTATTTTTATAATGATCATCTGCATATACTTTAACCTTATAAAAATCAATTAAAAAGGATTCTCTAATCAACTTTAAGACTAAAATCAAATTGAATAATAAAAAATTTTGAAAATAAGGTTGAGAGTTGGAAAATAAGTGAAAAAGTAGTTCATTTTTGAAAAAGATAAAATAACATATTTGCAAAAATATCAATAGAGATATTAAGAGAAGTTACATAAAAGATAGAAAGTACTGCGACTAGTTTTGCTAAAGAAAATAATGGTTGTAAAAGGATAAAATTGATATTAAAAGAAAGTAATAATTCTGATAAATTAGTCTACAATCAGATTACGCCTATACAGATAGAAAAAGAACCTAAATTGATAAAAGCCATTAGTATATAATAAGAGGTTAGTTTATTATGAGAATAGGAATTTTAAGTTATCTAAAGTAGCTAGGATAGCTATATTAAAAATTAATATAGCTAAAGTAAAAAAGTAAATTAATAGGAATTATTAATAATCTAATACTTATTAAATATCTTGTAGCTATATAAAGCTATCTCATAAATTATATAGAGAAATAAAGAACAAATTTATCTAATATTTAAAGTAAAGAGAGCTTTAATATCAGTGTAATGATAAAAGAAAAAGATTATAAAATAAGCTTCTTATTTATTTCTCATATTAGGGAACTTAAAGGCAGAATTGTTATCAAGCAAGTATTTATTACAAGGTGATAAAAACTTTTTCTATATTATATCAGAAGAGGCATTATAATATTAAAAGTAAACAATATTATTATCAATTTTGAGAACTTTGCCAATTATAGCAGACTGAAAATTCAAATGTTAATCAATTGTAAAATATGTGATGCTTTTAATATAGATAGAAGAAATTGAATATATATTATTATGTGGGTATTGATACTGTGAGAGAATGATTCTTATGTTTGGTGATAAAATCACTATTGATTATAATTTAGTAAACCATTTAGGAGCTTTCAGAATAGCCAATTTTGCTGAAAAGAATTTGAGATCAGATAAGATAAAAAGTGTAGTATCATCTGAGGTTGTGATTTGGTCAAGGAATATAAGTTATTTATTTTTAATTTAGTAGCAAATTTGTGATAATCTACTTTATCATAAATATCACTTAAAAGAATATGCTATCCTAGTATTAGTATATGGCCAATATGTAAGGAGTGATTGAACTAGTCATTTATTTTGTTGAAGTATTTTAAAGTGAATTAAAGAAATTATTTCTAATAAGTCTTTATCATTAATAAATTTAATAAAGTTAATTACTTTAGCTTGTATTTATGTAAAGTATAAATATATGATGTTATAAAATAGAAATGAATGTATAATAACTGCTAAAATACTTTTTGATAAGTATAAATTTGATTTAAAGAACTTCCTATAGAATCCTATGATCTAATTACAGAATTTGTAATTAAAAAAAGTTAATTGTATATGATATAAGATTCTTGATAGTAGAACTAAGTTAAAGACTGTTTTAAGTTATTTGTCTATGAGAAATTTTCTTTTAATTGTTAAAGTAGCAGTAAATATTTCATTTTTATTTATTGTCTAATAAAAGGATTATTTGAAAAAAGGAATATCTAAATACTAAGATAACGGATAGGTCTATTAATTTAATCTATTTTCATTATGAGTAAATCAAAAATAAACAGGTAATACTATAGGCATTAAAGTTAATAATACGTAATGAAATTTGATTGAATTGAATATGAAAAAAATAATGGGATTGTGACATATATAAGCGAAATCATAATCGAAAGAAAAAAAAATCGGTTAAAAATATAATATTTTATATATTTTAAGTGTTTTTAAGATAAGGCCGGAATAAGAAATAGTTCAAAAAAAAAAAAGTAAAAAGTCAGGGGAAGAAAAAATTTACAAAGAAAGAGAAGAGGAAAACAAGATTGTCCGGTTTTTTTTAAGGAGAAAAATCTTCTTTCGGCACCTGCCGAAAATTGTCCTATTTTTACAAACAAAAAAAATTTTTTAAATCGGAAAAAAAAAAGACTCGTTTCCCCCTCTTTTTTTTTTTTTTTTTAAAAAAAAAAAAAAAATTAGGAATAAGAATAATATAATAATATAAAAAACAAAAATGTTAAAATTGATTTCGAACACCAAAAAAAAAAAAATGTCCGGACCCACCCAACCTTAAAAACACGATAGAAAAATCAAACAATGCCAGAGAAATTTTGATATTTTTATGTACAAAAATTACAAATTAAGAAAAAAAAAAAGGAAAAAATAATAAACGTAAAGGTATATATATATTTTTTTTACGTTATTAATTTCACCTATAAAGAGGATCATAATAACTTCATATATATATATATATATAAAGTGTCTTTAGAACTCTCTTCACTATTAAAATAAACTAGTTTCACTCATTATTAAAAGTAAAAAAAAAAACTTTTGGAATATGTAAATAAAGAATTAAAAAGAAAAGTAGATTTCAGATATTATACTACGTTATAATAAAAAAAAAAAAAAATTGGAATATAATTATTTTAAAAAATGTTCATATTAAAAGTATGCAAAATAATTTTACTTAGATACCGCTGCTCACAGTTGATTGATATCCAAAAGATGATGGTTGATGTCGATTGGCCATTATTGGAGTGGGTAACCTATTATTTGCAAACGCGTCGTAACCATTGTTGGCACTAGATGATGTTGAAGTGGTGTTTTGATTATACGTCTGGGCGAATGAAGAAGCAAAAGCGGGCAACCGTTCATTACTGACTGTCGTTGTTGAGGAAGCCGAGTATACAGGTGACGGTAATTGGTTTGTTAAAGAAGAAGGTGGTGGCAATGGAGAGGTTGGTGTCAATACGCCGGAAGCACCATGATGCAAAGATCCAGTTATCACGTGAACTCCATTACTATTTGATCGATGATTGTAATATTCTCCCCCATTATCGGCAGAATGTTGCGCCATGTAAGAATTTTGTGCGGAAGAAACGTCCCCATTTGAAGCCATACTAACATTTTCGGCGCTATTATTCATTTGAGATCTTTTTGAAGTAAAATAATCACCACGAGGATAAGAAACATCCAAAGGTGAATCAGGAATTGATCTTCGACACGTTTCATCATCATCTGAACAACTCAAACTTGAATTACTAGACCTTCGAGAAACTAAATTTTCATTGTTTCCGGCTCCATTAGCTTCAACATCAAGGTTGCTATTGTCATCCAATTGACCATCATCATCCTTATTGTTATTAAGGAGGGAATTGTTCGTGGCTCGTGACTTGCTGCGCCAACTTTGTCTCTTATTCTGGAACCAAATTTGAACTGTACGCGGTGACATTCCCAATTGTTTTCCCAGTTGAATACGTAACTCGGTCGAAGGGAAGAACGTATGCTGAAATACTTGGTTGAGAACTTTTAACTGATTCGCATTAGCACGCTTTCTTTTAGCTTTAACCATGGTTCCAGAATTTGTTGGGTCCATGTAAGGAGATCCAAGATGGTGATGGTGAGACATTTGAAGGTGATGGTGAGACGAAGGTGGAGTCGGGTAAGGGTTATGTGACGGTACGGAGTATCCATGATGATGAGAAACTGGATACGTATTCGGAGATTGAGGGCTATGCATACCATAAGATGACGGTCTCGGTTGCTGATGAGCTGCAACGTAATGTCCTCTCTCATAACCATACGGTGATATGTTACTTTGATGATGATGGTAAGAGTTGTCAGGTGAAACGAGCGATGGATGATCGTTCCTTGGGGAGGCTGCGGTGAAACCAGGTAAGTCCGAATGACGCCTTTGCTCAAGGTTCGATAACAGACGCGGAGATGCATAAGGGTGCAAAGTGGATGTGGTACCATAGGGATTAAAACGCGTTTGGTTGACATCAAAGGAAGATCTGCGAAACGGTTGTTGTTGTTGTTGTTGTTGCTGCTGTTGCTGCTGTTGCTGTTGCTGTTGTTGTTGTTGTTGTTGCTGCTGTTGCTGTTGTTGTTGTTGTTGTTGTTGTTGAACCGCAGATAAAGGTGAGCTCAAAGGACCATTTTGAAATAAACTCGCATTACTATTGTTATTATTTTGAAAGTTACGATGATTACTTTCAAGTGAGTGATGACGTTGCGTTGTCAGTGAAGATGCAGGTGGCAGACGCGCGGTGGAAGAAGAAACAGTATCCATTATGTCTGCGTGTGAAGAATTTGTACGATAAGCCTCGGAAATAGCCGCAAATTGTTCTAAATGATTCCACGATTTTTGGGAAGAATGATGGTCGACCTGCGAATTGATTTTCCCATGATCGGCAGAAGGTGATTGAATGAATTGCCCGTTGGAATCTTCATTATTGTTATTGTTGTTATTATCGGATCTTAGATCTGTAAAACTCCTGATTGGTGGTAAGACGGGCCTTGAACCATGATCTTGTCCCATCATGCATGGTCGTTTCCAAGGGACATCATCATGAAATCTGCCTTGACCCACATATCTCTCATCATCTTGATGTTGTTGTCGATGGTGATTACTTGAGTTGTTATTATCATTGAAATAATGTTGTGTTTGATCATGCTGTGACAGTTCAAGGTTACCTACTACAACGTCCGACGAACTATTATTGTTATTGTTAAATAAGCGTTGCTTCTCTCGATCAGTCGTCATTGTTGTCGATATGCCGGGTGGAGAATATGGGGGGGTCGTCGCCTGGGTCGATGAATTAGCACGACTTTTATGGAACGAACGAGATGATCCCAACGATTCGGTATCACCTAAATGACTTGGACTTGAAACATCGTCCATACTATCTTCCTCAACGGAGGCAGAATCATAAACGGGAGATTTTGCTGAGGCCGAAGGTAATTCACACAATAAAGATGAGATATCCAACACGGAAGTTTTCCTTCGTGGGAATGAAGTCGAGATTCTTGAGGATGATCGTTGTTGATGATTATTATTTTTATGTCGGTTATCGTTGGTGTTGCTTTGACAGTTAATAATATTCCCTTCGCTATCATCGTCAAGTACGATTTCGTTATTGACATTATTAGAAATGTTTTTGTTTTCAACTTCCACAATCATCGTGTCCTCGTCTTCACTATTTCTTCTTGATGATACGTTATGGTGGTGTTTTTGCGGATCGTGATTGTTAAAGTGACGGGCATGTTTGGCATTATTCATAGTAATTTCCATGATAGTATTTGAAGATTGTTTGGTAACAATTTCATCATCGATGCCGTTATCGTGGTGGTGTTGCTGTAATTGTGAAGGCATTGTTGTTGATGTTGTTAACGCTGTTGCTAAAATTGATACCATATATGAAAATACTTTAAAAAAAACGAGTCGGGTATTTTTTTTTGTCGAATAAAAAAAAAAAAAATTATTCAACGTGACAAAAAAAAAAAAAAAAATTTTAATTTTTTTTTCAGCAGTGATTCCACGAATCTACCTTGGAAATCACCACCTAAAAAAAAAAAAATGGAGACTTTTTTTTTTCTTTTCTAAAAAGAAACGGATAATGATAGGGAGCGAAAGTAGGGCGAAAAAAAAAACGTAAACAAATAAAAAGAAGAAGAAAAAAAAAGAATGGACGGTGAATCGCGGAATAATTTTTTTTTTTTTTTTTTTTTTTTGATGATAAAGAAAAAAAAAAAGAAATATACCCAAGAGTTGGACTGAAACCAAAAAAATTTAATTTTTTTTTGGGAATTTTTTTAAAAAGAAAAGGTGAAAAGGAAATAAAGGAAGAGATGGGTATTTATATTTGAAGATGTGAACTTTTTTTTTTTTTATTTTTTTTTTTTTTTTTTTATTCCACACCAACAAAAATATTATTTATTATATATTATTTTTTTACAGTTTAAAAAAAAAAAAAAAAAATTTTTTTTTGTAATTGTAACGACATGAAATTTCATAAAATAAATAATAATAACATATATATTCTATACAGTATTATGTATAATTAAAATATTTGTGTAACGAAAATAATAAATCGAAGATTTTAATCTAAAAAAAAAGAGTTATTGAATATAATATATATTTATATATAATAATAATAATAATAATAATAATAATAATGGAAAATAAATTATTTAAGTTTTAAAGTATGATCGGCTGTTCTATTTAAGGGACCAAAAATTTAGGGGACCTTTATAGACGAAGTCGAGGGGAAATTAAACGGGGGTACATAACAAGAATAATGGGAATGTTTGGAACAAGATTTATAAATATTATATAAAATATATATTACTCACGAATATCAAATATCAAATTATAATTTTTTTTTTTTACGAGGAAAAAACTTAACAGAACCAATAGGGGAAAATAAATAAATATATATATATATATAAATAAAAATATAAATATATATGGAAGTGAAACGAAGCAAAAGTTATCGATTTCTAAGGCAAAAGAAGGAATGACATTTAATAAAACAAATACAAGCAGAAACCTACCGAAATGCCGCAAATTATATTAAGAAATTTTAATACGAGGGGTATTAAATTTTATTTTTAAAGCGATTATAATGATGACGATAAAATGACGAAAAAAAGTAATGTATCAGGAACCTGTAAAAAAAATTAAAGTAATAAGGGAGCGAAATATGCGATGATAAGAAAATCAGGTATAATGATGCATAAAAAAAAAAAAGAAACCGAGATTTACGTAGATAGTAAAAAATAAAAAGGAGGAGGTATTGATGATGATAAAAAAGGAAGCAAAAAAGAACAGTATAAACAGGGGATTCTGAGTGATGATACATTCATTCATAAGGACGAAAAAAAAACCTAACCATCAATGACGCGTAAAAGCATAAAAGGAGAATAATAAATAATTAAGCATGCAAAGAAGAAATAAAAAGGGATAGGGATGAATTAAATTGTATTGATTGATTTACTAGGAAGGAAAAAATTACGCGAAACACCGGGATGGATGTTTATCGTTTTAACGTAACGTTACATATACTTGCCTCTTAATGGTATCTATTTAAAAATAATTTATTTTATTGTTTTTATTATTGCTCCTATTTATTGTTGTCTAAACCTTTCACTAAAATAGAAAAATAAGGGAAGCGGGAAGGAAAGGTAAAAAAAAAATAAATAAAAACGTAAGTGGAAATTATTTTACAAATAATATTATCAATATCATAATCAGGATCATAATCAGTAATTAAAATGAAGGGGGGGGGGGGTTGAAATCGAATAAATAAATAATAAAATCCAATAGTCCGCTAGAAAATATGTGAGAAAAATTTTTAGCAAAATATTACCAAATAAATAAAATAAATATTAAATGTCATAATACAATAATAATAATTTTTAAAAAAAATTTAATTCATGAATGGGTTTAAGGGGTTGAAATCATAAATTAAATTAATTGGTTTATTTTTAATTACCGACAGTAAAATTAAATCGAAATTAGAAAAACCAGAGCGAAATTAAGTAAGTAAAAAGGGTAAAGGAGGAATGTGAAAATGTAGTAGGAAAATAAATGACAATGTAAGAAGGAGAAACCTCAGAATGTTGGATGCATCGAGCATTGTGTTCAAAGTTATCAAACGTTTGTAATAGATCATTTCATATTAATGATACCTAATCCTAATGCATTGTATTTCGACCAGTCTTCTACCATATTCTATTAACATTAATGAGTAATTGATCCTTGGCTATAAACAAACAACAAAACGGTTTTCCTATTTAATTATAAAGTTATTGGTGTTCAAATGTGGTAAATTTTTCCCGTATGTAAAACCAAAATTTCCATCCTCACATGTTTAAATAATCATTTCCCAAATATCGTAGTCTCAAACAATTCTCGTTTAGAGTTTGGTTTATTTGTTGGGATGAAAAGGATGGATAAAGTGGGATAAAGAACTTAAAAAGATGATATTATCATGTAATTCGTTATCAATATATTCCGTCAACAAATAACGCTTCTCCTAGTGCGACTTGGCTAACTATATCTAGTTTTAAAAAAATATATTCAAATATTCAAATATTTCACATTAAACCATGTATACATAATAATAATGAAATTTCCTGCGCATGTGATACAGTGCATGTGTTTCATGTGATGTTCCGGAATAATGTGCATGTGGATTATGTGACGACGTGGCACTAATTATTAATCCTACTAATCCTAATATACACCAATATAAAATCTAGTATAAATTTGTCGATCATTTTATGACGCGTTTTGGCCCTTTTATCTTTTAAAAAAGAATCACGATTTAAAACCTTTGTTTGTACTTGTAAGAAGTTCGGCCACTTTTTTGTTTCTTAAGATGAAGGGTCAAAAATTTTCATTTCGTAAATTTTTAAAATAAATAAACTAATAAAGAAATTAATTTTATGAGGTTGAAGTCTTGTATGACATTTGTGGTAATTTGATTGGTCATTTTCAGATTACTTGATCGAATTTACAAAGTTACAAAGTAGAATTTTTAACGCGTTACTCATCATTTCTTTATTCCGATTATATTTTATTCGACAAGTTATTTCTAACGATCATAAATTTTCAAGTAAATTTCGATTTATATACGTAAAATGTGGCACCTTATCGGTTAAAATAAATTGCAAAACACAAACCAATGATTTGTGTGATTATCTTCTTTTTTTTTTTTTTTTTTTTCCTAATTTCAGAAAAAGATGTTCATGTCATCGATATATCCTTAATTCGCTTATCCTTAACAAACATTTATTTCCAAATCAGGCAATTATTATAATGCTTGAATCATTACAATTGGCATGTAAATTATGATGCTTCAACAAGGGATCATTTATCTATCATATCAACGAAACTGCTTATGGTAAATAAAGGAAAAGAAGCGCTTATTTTTTAAAAATAGATTGCTTATTTTAGTGTGTTTGTGTGGAGAAAGATGTGCGACGTTCAATTCTAGATAAATTTCTGGTCGAATCTCCAAACAGCTTTTTTTTTCTTATTAATTGATTACGAAAAACCTATTTTGAGGCGTGATTTTCTTTCTTTAATAGATGCATAGATCCGAAAAAAGATGATGTAAGATTTATAATACCTATTTTTTAAAAATTTTACATGTTACATATTTATTACAAATTCCGATCATCTAGTAAAATTATCTTAACTATAAATAAATACCATGATATGGCCGGGTAAACGATCGGATCAAAATGTTGCTTGTTTAGTCAAAAGTTTTTAATTTTTTGGACCGTGTTTGATAAGGAAAATCCCAAAAGAATGTTAAAAAAAAAAGTGAGTTCAATTAATCAAAGGGTTAATTCGAGAACAAAAAAAAAAAAAAAAAAATGCTTAAAAGAATCAATACTGCAACACAACGATAAATCCTCCTTTTTTTTTCCAATTATCGCTTATAGTACTTGGTAAACAAAGATTGTCAATTTTGATCGACCCTTCAATTTGATGAGTAGTTATTTATTGTGTTTATTTTTAACTTTGAAAGGAATCAAATAAACCGATCTGTGTAATCACCATTAACTAAATTGATACAATTATTAATTTGTTTTTTTTTTTTTTTTTTAAAAAAAAAAAAAAGTCCTTTTCTTTTTAATTGATGACTTTCTTTTTAATGAATAGAAAAAGTTCATTTCACTGCATAACGATGCATAAATTTTAAAAGAAGCCAAGCATTAAAAAAAGAACCCGAGCTACTCCCAAATTATTAATATGAAGCACATTATCATTTTTTAGAATGACAATGAGAAAAATAATTTTTAACGGAACAATAATTAATTAATATTTGTCTCACATGAATGAACTATAGAAATTTTTTTAATTGAATTTTTTTTTTTTTAATTTTGGGACGTGAAGATCAAAATTTTTTTAAATAAATTTTTACCTAATTCATCATACTTAACCCCTTTTTAATTAAAAACCAAGCCAACCCCTTTTTCAGTTTATCTCCGATTATAAACGATCTGCAAATTTTTTTAATATATTTGTTGTTTATAAAAAAAAAAAAAAAAAAAAGATAAAAAAAGAAATGACGGCCGAAAACGGTTAGATGTGTTTAAACGTCAAAAATCATTATTTTTCTGTCAGAAAATTCGAAAAAAAATATGTGTCAGATGCTCTCCACTAAAACTTCAAAAGCTAACTCGCATGCAGAATCTAATATTTATGTGAAAAGAAAAAAAAATAAATGAAACTTAAGCATACATGTATGACAAGAATCTTGTAATATATTAGATAATTAATATATGTATATTATATGTATAAAACATTGTATTCTTATATTTTATATATTTCTTATAGTTATACTCGTATGACTTTCATCAGACATTGAGAATCTCGGATAAAGTAATCAAAATTATTAATTTGTCGGAAAGGCGATCTGGAATCGTATGTTTCAACTCCGCAGTAAAATTCTTGACGAAACATGAAATTTTCTTCCCGTCAAGCTTTCTTTGGTTAAAGTTATTATCATATATGGTATAATGATACCTTTTTTTCCACAATGATCATAGATTTCACAAAATTGTTTACTTTCTCATGCGAGTACATAATCTTGCCTGCAGCTTTTCCTTACGTTTTTGTGAATTGTGCCATCGTACAAAATGGTACTTTCGTATCATGGGGTTTCTTTTTTTTTTTTTTTTTTTGACAACGTGAGCTAGTTAATTTTTTTTTTTTTAATCTATAACATATCTTTGATTCTATTTTTTATTAACCTAAAATTACTAATATTATTTATGATGTCCGAAATCATCTCTTTTGTAAACAAGTACAATTCATATTAAAATTTTATTTTTTTTTTTTAATGGTTTTTATTTCAAAATGTCGGATATAACCAAATACGGTCCTTTCCGTTTTATCGATTTTTAATATTTTTGGAAACACTTTTTTTACATTTGGTTCCTCATTGAAAGTATCAACAGGAAAAAAAAAGGGTGTTAAATGGATGATCTCTTTCTTACATCCATTTTAGCCTAGTTGTCGTTTTTAAATAATAAAAAAGTAATTGCAATTCTAACAAATTCTGACGATCGCGGGATTCCCTTTGGAATCCTGAAATCTCATTCGCCCAACGATCAAGAAAATCAATGAACATTATGACCAAATAGAGAGAAAAATAAATTAAATGAATTGTCATATATGGAATTTTCCTTGATTAATTTTCCAATTATTTTATAATTATTTATATTTAATTAAAGTTTTAATGGCGATGTTTGTTTGATTCAGCAGATCGAATATTAAATATGGATACTAATATTTATTTTTTTAAATTACCTTAGGTAATAACTTTAATGCGAAATGAAAAAATTAATGAAATCAATGAACTTTTTCCCCTTTTGTCAATGATCGTTGTCACTTTCGTTCATTTCATATTTAAACGATCGCCCAACCTTGTCGGATTATCCATCATTGCACATGTTGGTTACTTCATTGGTGACCAACTCGGAAAAAGTGGTCAACGTCCCCTTCCCGGAGGCATTTCTTATGAGAAAGCGTTCAAAATCCTTTTTTTTTTTTTTTTTTTTTTTTTTTGAAATAATTGAAATAAGATGATGCGAGTTGATCCCGGGTGTACCTGGAATGTCCCCAATTTCACAAAGAATATTTGAATTCCCAATTTTATCTTTACCCCCGAAGACGTCGCCACATTGTTTTCTTGTTCAACTTTTTTGTATTAGTGATTGTTGACAAACAATTTATGTATGCGATACCCGGTTTTGTAATGCCGCGCTTTTCATTATGAATTGAAACATACGTTCAATTCTTTATGGCACATCTTTACCTAGAACAATGATGCCCAATTATTATCCCGCGTCATATGATAGGGTAATCAAGCCGGAAAGGGCAAATATTTGCTAGCAGGGATAAGGGCTACGGGATTGCCAACGAGCCTTATGGTTTCATTAAAGTTGACAGTTAATTATTGAGAATTAATCCGTGATTCTTTTATCGATCATCAATTCATTCTTTCTTTTAGCTCCCTGTTTTATCCTAAAATTAGATCCGTGTGCAACTAGCTCGTTTTAAAAAATAATAAGATAATAATATTCGGACCGTTTCAAGTCTACGAATGGATGATTAATTTATGTTGTCCGACTCTATTTACCTCCGACTCTGTTATTGAATCATGATTATTGATGAAAAATTCAAAAAGTTGCCAAGACATTTTTTTTTTGGTTCTAAACAAGAAGATGATAAAAAGAAATTAAAAAAAAAAATTAAAAAGATTTTCGTTTCCCTTTCTTTTTGCATGTGAAACGTTGCAGTCGCACCAAGCTAAAAAAAATTCACTACACCAATAAGGCACAATGAGAAAAGGTATGATGAGTTCAATTTCATTGATTAACTAAGAAAGAGATATCTGGAGGAACAATTAAAATTTCGAATTACCTTTCATAGTTTATGAGGCATTTAGGGTATTAGTGTTTAATTGATTTTAATTGAATGACATCATTTGGATGCATCAAAGCTGGGCAAAAAAAAAGGAATGTTGTTTGAGGTAGATCTTGTGGTCATATTTTTTGCCTTGTACCTCATTGTATTTTGGGAGCCGAGTTGGTTCAATCGATTATTTTAGATTAGATTGATGCACCTTTTTTTTTTTTTGTTTTATTAAAAAAAAGGGGAAAAAGGGAATAATTTTCATAACCTTTTTTCTAAAAATGGAGCGGAAATTTGATTGCACTTTTTTTTTTTTTTTTTTTTTTTTTTTTTCATTCGATGATTAATCTTTTCATTTTATTTGAGGAAGATGTTTTATCCGAATTATTTTTTTTTTGTTGCCATTTGGGTAAACGAAATCGTATTTATGTGTAATTGGAAAGTTAAATTAATTAATTGACACTTTTTTTTTATTTTGTTTCCTCGAGAAAAAGAAAATGAGTGGAAAAAGAAGGGAAGGTGCCAATCGGGCTCCCTATTATAAATTAATAAAAAAAAAAGAGAGAGGAGAAATCCACCCCTCCCCTCTTCATATGTTTGTGAAAACAAACAACTGCCCCCAAAAAAATTAGAAGAACCAAAAAGAAATAAATAACGTACACTAATAAACAAATAATAAAAACAAATAAATAAATAATTATAATAATAATAACAATAATAATAATAATAATAATATAATCATAATAATAATAATAAATTAAAAAAAAAAAAGAAGAAGAAGAGCGAGAGAAGAGAACGTACCAAGTCGGAAGCAAAACAAAATTTTATAGTACAAATATAATACAACTTATTATTAAATAATTAAACAAAAAGCCAACCTTCCTAAATGAAATGAATTTTATTATTATAATTGGTGGTGACAAATATATTAATTAATTTTTTTTTTTAATTTAAAGCGCCATTAACGCCAAAACACTTGAAAATTTTTAGTTATCCTTCTTTTGTAATTAAAAGAGGAAAGGTCATAAGCCATAAATGAAAAAAAATAGGAGAAATGAAGAACCAATTGAGAACAATCAAATAAACATTTAATTTAATTACACGAGTAATTTAGTAAGGACAAATATAAATATAATAATTCATATAACTCTATCAAGAAATTAAACTTGTTATTTTTTATTTCATTATAGCAAAATGAAGAATGAAATGAAAAAAAAAAAAAAAAGAGATCAAAATGTGATGAACTATGCCTAATAGAATTTCATTTAAAAATTCACGAGGGACATCTCTACATTCTACCTTGAATCACATTTTTTTGTTTTTCGCGATATTGTTATTCGACAATAGAAATTCTTTGTTTTTCAAGTGTAAATATTTATCCCATTATGAATCCCTTTAATGATGAACTAACACGAGATTCATTGTTATTAAAATTAAATAAATAAATAATACTCGTATTTGGATATGATAAACAGTGACGCCATATGGAGGTTGATTGGCCTGTTTGTTGTCGCACATAAATTTTTTTTTCTCGCTGAGGCTATCAGATACAGGTTGATATAAACAATATTAAAATGGATGGGAATTTTTTTTTCTTTTTTAGAAAAAAAAAAGAGCTTTTTTCATTCGATCTCTTTTTTTTTTTTTTGAAATTAATTGTTTACGTCAAATAAAATCTTATTATTTATTAACTTTTTTTTTTTTTTTTTTTTTTCAGGGCAAGCGATTGCATTGTTCGGCGTCATTATTTTTTTTTTTCTTCCAAAAAAGAAGGGATCCTTCTGACTAATTAATATGAACACAAGATTTAATGTTTAAATCCTTAACTGATTGTTTGTTTATACAAAAATTAAATGTAAAGTTTTATTAAAAAAAAAAAAAAAGAGAGAGAAAAAAAGATTGAGATGGAAACAAATCCTGTTAAAAGTTCGCACAGCCACAAATGCCGCAGAGAATGAAATGTGATTCGTTCAGTATCCCCCACAAAAAATTCCACCCCACGTGATTTCTAGCCGGGGACAATTTTTGCAAGTCACATGGGGTGAAATTTTTATACCTTTTTATCATAGCATTCAAGCGCTTCTCGTCCTTAAAAAGGTAGGTAATTAATGAAAATTATATTAATTAAAGATGAAGATGATATAATTAATTTATCGACCATGCCATGTATATTCCAATTCACTGAATCATCGGACTAGCCGTCCAAACTTAGTAACCCCAACAAACTTTAATTTATATTAGTAACAATATTTTAAAAAAGCTTAGAAATTAAAATAACAAACTAGCAATTCAAGTTAGTTTTACCTAATAATAGGATTTAGGTTAAATTGATATCCATTAAAATTTATTTAATTACATTTTTTTTTTTATAAACCTTAAATACAAAGGAAAGGGTACACCCCCATATCGCGTCATCGGAAATCCCATCCTTTTTTTTTAAAAAAAGAAAAAAACCTGAAATTGCTCAAATTTATTCTCGGCTTAAACTCAAATGTAATTACTATAAATTTAACGCCCAAATGGATAAATAACTTTTTTAGTGTTTGATAAAGAAGCACCAATCAAGAAGAAACAAAAAAAAAATAAACAAAAAAAAAAAAAAATTATATATTGGTAAAACCTTGAAAAAAATTTGATTCGTTCTATTAAAAAAAAATGAAATATTTTATTTTTGTTTTTTATTTTTAAAAAAAAAAAGTTCGGGAATTAAAATTCACTAATTCAAAAAATAAAATTAAATGAATAATATACCGATGCTAAACGTTCACGGAACGTCTGCTGCGCCACCAAAGCCTCTTCGCTATATCTGGCATTTGTAATTAAGAGATTTTTCTAAATTTAATCTAAACATTGAACCATTATTTTTACCCTTCAACTTTATTGGAAAGAAATGAAAATTATCAGGGTCGGGAAATGGTTCTATCTTACAACAAGGTAAGAGTTTTAAGTTTTGTAATTATTTGCTAATGTTTTTTTTTTAATGAAACCTGATTCGCCAATAACAGGTGTCAGTATGATCCATGCACGAGAAAGTGCATTTGAGTGTGTGAACTTTGAAAGTTGTCATTTTGTGTGAAAGAATACAAATAAAGACCCTAATCGTTTGGTAATCAAACCTTCGGCAACGTTTCCGAAAGGATTGACCCAATCATTTCAAACCTTATTTATGAATTGTTTTTATTAAAATATTTTATTTACTATTTGTGTTTTCGATGGCGTGGTAGAAAATTTCTTGAATACATATTTATTATTTTTATTTCATTTTGTGAAATCCTTCTTTTTTTTTTTACAATGGGATAGCTATAACCTTTTTTTTTTCCATGGACTTCCTTGACACCATTCCATTAAACCTTTCTTTTTTTGACAATCTGTTTGTATCGGAAAAAACGGTAAAAAAACAAAAAAAAAAAATTATATTAAATAGAAAATATTAAAAATAGAACATTTTATACATTGTAATTACTCTATAACATATGTCGTGATAGACCAATATAAACAAAAAAAAAAAAAATCCCTTAAACATTTTTTTCTCATTTATCTCATGATTTCCTTTTGTTTTTATAGGAGATGAAATCTTTTTTGAAAACCATTGCCGCACGGTGCAACAAATTGATTGATGACAAAAGTATTTATTTATGATTACAAATATAAAATGACTTAATTTATATAACTTTTTAATTACTTCCATTATACAAAAACGTTTTCTTAAAAAAAAAAAGGCTTGTTTACAAAAGAAAAAAAAAAAATAAATAAATTAACCAGTTTCACATGCAATCCATTAAATTTTCTATAATTAGTCAAAGCCACCCTTGTTCAGCCAATCGCTTTTCCATCAAAGAAAAAAAAGAATAATTTTTTTTTAAGGTTGTTTATTGAAACTTAAAAAAAAAAAAAAAAACTCGTTTTACCCTTTTTATTGTCAAATCGGCGTGCAACGTTATCTTGCTTTTTATAATGAATGAATGAGGAAGAAAAAAGGAAAAAAAAAAAAAAAAGTTTCACAAATTTTTTTTTTTAGTAACAAACACCTACAGCACTCGGAAATTTTTTTTTATTAAAATTTACATTTTAAGGAAAAATATCAAAAGTTCCGTAACCTATCGTTTTACGAGAGAGACTCTATCAATAACATTCTATTTAACAAACATAATTAATTCTATTTAATGATTTTTTTATTTGAAAACCATCATTTATATATATATTTTTTTTCAACGAAAAAGAATAAAACATGAATTTACCCAAATTCGTACACACAAATATCCGATATCAGAGAAATTACACATGAAATTGAATTTTTTATAATATATGTTTATGATCGAGATACGTGTGATGATTCATTGTGGTATGACTATTATGGCTAAAATATAAGCTCTGATTCCTAATTGGGTTGATTATGATATAGTTCTAAAATAATAAAAAAATCATTGTAAATTTTTTTATCACGAGAAAAAAAAAAATTAACCAAAAATTTATTCAGATGTTTGGTGTGTGTCAATATCTTAATGTTTAATATGAACGATAAATTCCTATTTTCCCATAAAGGTTATTTTGTTTAATCCAACCTTTGAAATAATCGATTAAACAGGGGGTCAAATGCAAGTCAGCATTCGGTGTCCCTTTTGTGAAAAAAAATGCACCCTCTTTGAAATGTCAGAAAAATGTATTGCTATAATAATCATCATGGAAGAAAAAGAAAAAAGGTCATTCTTTTCTTCTCATGAAACTGTTTTTTTTCTTTTGGATTGTTTGAAGAGAATCATCGCTTAGCATTTTACACACATTCAT